GCTTTCATTTTGTGTCAAAATAACATATCCTGTCACTCCACGCCAAAAGTATATTTATCGAATGGAAACAGCACCGCAAGCTGCATCTTCTTTATCAAACCTTCATTTCTGTTTTACCCAATTGTAAAATATCTTTTCATTTCTTTTCCTATTTTAAAATATGTGTTACAGTAATTGTTACTTGGAGGTCTTTTGTGTATCTATAGCTCCTTTGATTCATATCTTTTCCTTTCTTTTAATCTTGTTATGCAAAATTATATACACATTTCTCAGGAAATCCAAGGAGCATAACTTTATTAAATAAAACCTCCTAATCTTCGAGTCTTTCAACAAATGCAATTTTTTAAAGTACATGTTCCTAACCCATGGGTGTTGGTTTTTTGGTGGTTTGGGGGTTTTTGGGTTTTTTTTTGAATGAAGATCCCTAAGTCCTCTTCAAGTTATTACACGGATTTGGTGAAATGATTCTTCAGCTCTCCAATTTAAATAAGTTTTAGTGTGAACCAAGAATGAACATTATCCTCTAACCTGAGGTCAAGTGAAGGGTGATTTACATGACAAAGAATAATTCCCATTTTGTCCAATATGAAACAACTTCACCTTCGGCATCATTAAGAAGAATTTAGCACTTTCAAGGTTTTGGGGGTTGGGTTTTTCTTTTTCTTTTTTTTTTTTTTTTTTTTTGTAAATAGTTGGCTATGTATAGCGCAATTTCCCTTTTATAAATCACAATACAAAGGCTGACTTCTTGTGCTCCTGAATTTCGGCTATTATTTTTATAGCCTTAAGTAGAGTGAATTTGCACCTGCTGGTATTTAAACTTTAACATATTAGCTGGGGAGGACTTATCAACCCAGCGCACTGCCCTGAAGCAAATTAACAATCTTCATTAAAGTAAAGGGGGGGAAAGGCGGGGGAGATGTGACCATTTAAGACGCTGTCCGGGATCTCTCTCATCTATACATGTTCCGAGTGGATTATTTGGGGTCTTTATAGCAGCAGAATTATCGCTTTACTCCCCCTCCCCCCAACACACATTCGCTTCTAAATTTCTACTTTTCGCCCGGCACTTTAACCCTCTCGATGCCTTCTTCCCCTCCGTGTGGAACGATGCCCCGCAGAGGAAGGTTGCAAAGAGGCAGGGGCGGCTCGGCTGAGCTCCCGGTCTCAGCCCCAGCGGCCTCTCGCTCCCACCCCACCTCCCTTTAAGAGCACTTCCGAAAAAAAACAGGTCGTGCTCTTGGTGGTTTCTTCTCTCTCTTTTATGGCCACTTTCGGCTGAGCTTGCTCCCTCCCCTCTTCTTCCTCACACTCGAACTCACACTACAGGAGCCCCTGAGGAAGTGATCTCAGTCTAAATATCAAACTTACCGTCCGGAGGATCCTGCCTGGGAAAAGTTCTGCTCTGTTGGGTGTCAGAGTTAAAGAAACGACCGTCATCCCTCGTTAAGAGCTCAGGGCTTGGGGAGAGGGGATGCTGGCAGAGGGCCACGGGCAGGGAGCTGAGCTCCCTGGCTTTGCTAGCCCGGCTGCGCCGGCTCTGTGCCCCGAGGGGCGCGAGGACCCAGACCCCCTTTCCCCGCAGGCGGCTCCGACGCTCTCGGACAGAGCTCTCGGGACAGAGGCGCACCGGGCACCGACCCCGGGACTTCTCTAGCGGACCCGGAGTGCGCACCTAGGCGCTGCTCCGCGGGGGTATCCACGTGTTCCCTGTGGCGGGAGAGGGCCCCCGGGGCAGCGCCCCGTGTCTGCCCGACCACCCGCTTCTTTGGGGGTTGTGTGGGGTGGTCGTGTGCTTGTTCACGGCTACACCGCTAAAGTGGGAGCGTTTCGTGTTTACAACCGGCTCCGGCTTGTACTGGTGAGATGTAGTTCAAGCAGCGCTCCTGTGTGTCGCGGACTCTTAACTGGAGCTTTGCTCAGTCATTGAGAGCAATAGAAAGTATATGGAAATCAATATATAGACAGTGTGGAGGGCAGATAATGGATTCGAGTCAGTGAGTGTTATAATCTGCATTATGGGCTTCCTATTGTTTAGACTGAGCACAAATTTCCAAAGGGTGAAGTGTTGGGTTTGAGTCCCCGTTCTCTCTTCCCCCCCAGCTCCCCCTTCTTCTTCTTTTTGGAGGGCTTTGTGTGTATAGGGGGAAGGGGAGTGTTAAATCCTCCTGCCACAATTATCAGAGTAAACCCCCCCCTTCCTGCCCGCCCCATCTGATTTTAAAGGTAGTGCTTTCACGGCGAAGCTAATGACTTTCATTTAATTGAACATGCCCTGATGTAGCGGATTGTTCTCGCAGCCCTGCGCCTTTGTTGCTTTTGGGGGGAAATAAAGCTAATCAAACCTTTTGTCACGGCCAAATTCTCCCTCAGGGTCTCCCAAACATTTGTTTGAATAATTCACCTTAAGAATTGAAAATACTAATTGATTTTAAAATGCTAGCCCGGAGGGACGGGGAGGTGGGGGGTTGGGGTGGGGGGAGCCTGGAAATTAGAGGCGAAGAGCAAACGTCTACCTGCCAGCAGCGAAGCCTCCGCAGCCACTGCCCTCGCCGGGAGCCGCGGCCAGGATGGGCCCCCCCGCAGACCGCAGTGCCCCCGCCGCTGCCGGCCGCACGCTCCATTCCGTCCCCTCCCTCGGCCTCTTCTCCCCCTCCCCACCGCCAAACTGCGCCTGGTCACCTTGGCCCCGGACTCTCCGCTGAAGTGCCAGCGGTGGTAGGGGTGGGCTCCACCGGGCGGGGAGGGGGATCCCGGTCTGGGCGTCTCGGCCCCATTCAGGGAAGAATTTTGATGCGATTCATTAGAAGTAACGAGTTGACATAAGGTAAATCTACATCGAGGGGGCCTTTCTTTGAGTGCATGGGGAAGCTTCATTAACCATCGCTAACAAGGCGTGCAAATGCTCTGATTGGGCAGCTTTCTTGTAACGCCAAGGCCTTAGCAGGATGCCCACCTAATGAGGGTCACTACAAGAGACTGATAAAATATTCAAATTTTCTGTCGCACCAGGAACTTTGTACTAAAGTAGAAAGTTGAAGCAACTGTGTGCATGTTTACCTTGAGAAGGCACACTCGGGGGAGAAAGCATCTAGCTCTGACATCTCCATCTCACGAAGAAGCACCGAGCTGGACGGTCGCTGCTTTATGGACGTTTATTTGTTAAATTCGTCAACAGACTTCCACCCGCCTTCCCTCGTTCTCCCCCAGTTTAATATTGTTTCTCTCGGGTTTAATGTGCTGCCTAATAAATAACTTGTCTGAGAGGTTCCACGCTTTTTTTCTCCTTTTCTATCCTTTTTTTTTTTGCCTTGAAGAAGAATTATTAAAATCAGCCTGATGGCTTTAATGATACGTCAATCATTTCAAAGTTACTGCTTGTTGCTAATATGTCAGACTCTGTACACATCACTGCTACTTCCTCGCTGCCGCGTTTAAAGGCTGCCCCCTCCTCCCCCCCGCAAATTGTTTCTTCAAGTTTTCATTGCTAGGTTACGATTTCTAATTAGAGCTAAGTATTTCACTTAATATTTAATTTAGACGCCCAGCACATATATCATACCTAGATCAGTCAATCAAGTGTCCCTTGTTGATAATGCTACATCATTAAGAGTTGTGTTTAATTCAGGAGCAAGCGACTGTACGGCTGCTGCTGCTGAGGAGCAGGTAACTTTCGACTGGTGGGAGCTACCGGCAAATCCGGAGGGATGGGGGGAAGCAGCCCAGCTCAGCCGGGAGGCTGCTGTGGCTCCCTCACCTCCTCCGGAAAGTTCACTGCTTCCCAAGCGGGCATCTCGCCGCAGAGGCGAGATGCATTCCTTTTCTCCCTTTTTTAAATAATAATAATTATTGTAATAATAATAACAAGTATCTCACGTTTTCCTTCTCCAGCCTCTGTGCTTATGCAAAATTAAGTAAAGGAGGGGTCCCCAAAAGTTTAACTTGGAAGCTGGAGCACTATTTTGGACCACTGATGAAATACCCTCTCGTCTTTTTAAGCCAATCCAAACCGCTAAAAAATAACACTTGCCCACTTGTTTCTTATCACGACCGGTACAGCACGCACCGCATTCACAGGGCTCTGTTACGGCAGCCGGATGGGCCACATCTTACACACCCATCAAATGCTCATTCATTTATCCCGGAAAATTGTAACTAAAGAGAGAGAAGAAGAAAGAAAGAGGGAAGGAAGGGGGAAGATAGATGTGTTTGTAAAGATGGCATCAGTGCAAATTTGTCAGCGCTTGCCCCTGAAGACTGACAAAAATTGAATTAAATCGTTATAATAATAATAACAATATCAAAAAGCCTAACAAGACCAACACGATGGGTTCTCTTTTACCTGCCCCAGGTTCTCCCTTTCTCCCCCCCCCTCGCCTTCCCCCTCGCCGCGGCCGCAGTGCTGTATTTTCCTCTCGCCGGTACCTCGACCGCTACGCCCCAGCCCCGTCTGAACCCCTGCCTCCCCCGATAAAAAAAATAATCAGCGCTTGCAAGCCTCGACTGAGTCACTCCCGAGTCAGGATTAAGGGGCACTAACTAGGCAGCAGAAAATCGCAGCCTCTTGGGAGCGACCATCAAAACAAGCAGTGAAATAAAAGAGCCTCTCTCTCTGCTTCCCTTCCTCTCCCCAGAAAAGTCCTCCAGGTTGGCAGACCGACAGACGCTCACAACTTCGTAGGGCTCCCTCCATAAGAAACCACTGGTTTGCCCGGGTTTGTTCAGGGGGAGGTAGAGGGAACTGGGGGGGAGCTGCTCCTCTGCCCTGCAGAGCCACATGTCATTCTAGCAGCTGAAACAATGAATCATGTGGGACCAAGTAAGATTGACTGGAAACGGACGGCAGGTTCCCCGGCCTGGAGAAGGCGGCTATCGTCAGCACAGGGGGACCCCCGGGTCCCAGCGCGGGGGTGGGGAATGGTCGGGGGAGGGGGGGACCGAGGCCGCGCACCCCCTGGGCGATCCCCCGCGGGACCTCCGCCTGCCCGTAACAAACTTACAGGATCCGGAAAGGATTTCCCCAGCCGAGAGGGCAGCCTCTGCTCTGCTCTGCTCTGCCCTGCCCCGTCCGCCGCCTCTGCCGCCGTTTTCCCGCTGCCGCTCCCGCTGCCGCCGCCGCCCGCTCCCGGCTCCGCGCCCGGCGGGACGCCCCGCTGCGCGCGCCGCTCCACTCCGCTCCGCGCCCGCGGGGATCGGCGGCTGCGCCCGCCCGGCGGGTCCCGGCTCGGCATTAGCCGATCCCATTGACAGTTTGCAGCCAGCAGCTGCAGTCATTAAAAGCCATTTACACCCTGGCCTCCTTACACAAAGCTGGAGCGCCAACAATTATCTGCTTGCACATTTCAGGACATGAGAGTGTGTCCCTAACAGGCTTAGGGGAGCGCTGAATCCCCGGCCGGGCTGGGCAAGCGCAGGATCCGCTCCTCGAGGTCTGGCTGACGACGACTGCGCCTCGATGACCCCCGTCTTCGAGCCGCGGGAGCCGGCGGAAACATTTTAGGATGCTGACTCCGTCCTTGCAAAAGCTTCTGGCTAGCAGAGCTCATGCGCTGGACTTTCGCGGCGCAGAGAGGAGAGTGGGTTTCAGGAAGACCTTGATATTAGGTAATAGGCAAGGTTGTGGGTTTGGTTGGTTTTAAACCTGCCGGTACATGGCGTAGAAGCATTGAAATACCCTACAAAAGGATATTTTGGAAGAAATATTTTCACCAGAAATGCAGTTGTTACATGTTTCATATGTCTGAGGGAAGAAAAGAAAAAAATAAAAAAGGAAAAAAGGGGGGAAAGGGGGGGAGGAAGAGAGAAAGAGGGAAAGAAGGAAAGAAAGAAAAAGAGAGAAAGAAAGAAAGAAAAGAAAGAAAGAGAGAAAGAAAGAAGAAGAAAGAGAGAGAGAGAAAGAAAGAACAAGAAAGAAAGAAAATACATATAGAAGCTTTGAGAGATTAATCAGGAATCTTCATAGAGGGGTCACAACCTATAGGCGAATGACCAGTGTACGATAGTCCGTGAGATTAAAAAAAGAAAAAAACAGAGGCAGTTTGGATGCTTTTCTGGAAATACATTTTAAGGGGGTTTAATTTGCAGCTTGAAGAAAAATGGAATCAAATATTAAGAAACTCCCGCAGGAATTCCCCCCACTCTCCCCTCTGTAATCCTTTACATAAAAGGAAAGGATTACAAAGAAAAAGATTGTGTGTGTGTGTGTGTATTAAAATCTTTGGCTAAACATATTGTTGTCCAATTAATACCTCCAAGTCGATTTGTAGAGGGGCTGAGAAGTCTCTTTCCCTTCTTAGCTGTACAACTGGAAATATGAGCCAGGGAAGGTGGGAGGGTAAAAAGAAGTTTTTCCCAAGTCTGTTAACAGAAGTGCTTAACCAGATCACTAAAAATTAAGAGGGCGAGTTATTTCCATTAGGACTATGAAGCCATGTAGCACACCGATGACAGTTTAGTGGAAATCAGATGAATGTGTAATACAGCGAGCTTCTTCCAGTCCAGCAGCTCTTCCAACTGGACCTATTCATCTGCCACTTGGAATTATTTCACGAGGAGTGCGCTGTGAAAGGATCACAACCAGTTTGGAGCGCAGCTAAAGAACTTCTACCACCCATAGCAGTATTATTATTATCCTTCGGATAGGGCAAGTCACGCTATGTTTTCACATTTTAATTGTAATATCTCACTTCCCCCCCTCCTTCCCTCCATTGATGTCTGAAAGTAGTTTGGGCTCCAAGCCTCACCCCTCGATCTCCATCGGAATGCAGAAAAGATCTTTAAAAAAGTTTTGAATTCCTCAATGATTTTTCTTCTAGAAAGGCGGCTTAGGATAATTATTTCAGCTTTATTGAGGGCAGATTAGTTGAAGTCTGGATGCTGCGTTTCAATACTCGTTGTACATGCCTTTACAATGTCGGTATTGTTTGCTACTGTGTGTGAACCTATTCAAAATATACACTTTTTAACACCAAGCAAAGTCCTGTCTAAATATACACAGTAAGTCTGGAAAGATGTCCATGACCCGTACAAATCTCTGTAAATCACACTTCCATAGCTACAGAAACCAAACAAAAGAGTTACCAGCTCAAGATGCTGATTAAATCTTCTTAAAAGCAACACACCTAATAATAAATATAGTTGCATGGTAGCGAGGTCTAGCGATCCAGCTATGTCTTACTGAGGGATGGACTCAAACCACCACCACGGAGATTTTCCTACTCTCAATTAAAAAAAAAAAATTCTGGGCTCAGACCCGCTTTTGCTCTCCTCCCTTTCCTCGTGCCCGCACAAGAGCCCTTCAAGTTCGGGGCAGAAATTGCGGGGGAAAAGAGACCTCCTGCGTCAAGCCCCGACGGGTTTGGGGGTGAGCAGCAGCCTGGCAAGGTCGCCGGGCTCCGGAGAAAGGAAGGGGCGAGAGGAGGTGAGGCGAGTGGGAGGAGGAGAGGCAGAGTGGAAATAAAACAAAGTGGAGAGAGGGAAGAGAAAGGAGAACGAAAGCGAAGACGAGAAGGAGTGGGAGGGCGGGGAAGCGAGGAGTGGGACAGGGAGGCAGCGAGCGGGGCGCCGCCGAGGTCGGGCGCGGAGCCGAGCGGCCGGAGCGGGCCCGGGCCGGGCGCCCTGGGCGGCTCCCGGCGGAGCAGCCGCGGAACTCCGCGGCCAGCGGATCCTTCCTTTCGCGGAGAGGGACAGGGAGAGGAAGAGGGGAGGAGAGACTCTTCGGTGAACCAGAGCTAAACCCAGCTTGTACTGTATGTGCCTGCTTCTGGGAGGGTCACCGGCATGAGGATGGGTCTAATGATCTCATCTTTCTTTTCTTCCCCGGCACTATTAGTGCTCAGATAGGCAGAATGAAGTGAAACTACGTGCAAATCATGTGTAAATTGTCTCAGTTAGGAGCCCTTTATCCGAACGTGTATCCCAGCCTGGCCCATTTACTTTTCCCCCATATCTCCTTTAGCTTTAACGAGGCTCGTTAAGATCACAATAATATTCCACCCTCTAATTGCTCATCCCATTCAACAAATATGTGCACACTGCTTTTCGCATTATTTGATCCCTTATTTAGGAGGGGTGTGGAGAGGGAGGGGGAAGAGACAGGGAGAAGGGGAAGTGCTGAGATTAGGAGTTGCAAAGATTAAGGAGGAAAAAAAAAATCCAAACAACAAACCAGGCTTTTCCACCAACCGCCCCGCTTGCCTCCCCCCCGTGCATTTGGGCGAAGTGGTAAAAACCTTCCTTACGTACTCCGTAATGATTGGCAGGGCTGACAGTGATTGGCAGCGGCTGCCATGGCAACGCCACAACGACACTCAGAAGACCAATAGAAAAGCGAAACAAAATGTTTCAGCGCTGCACTCACTGTGGATTTAGGGGAGATATTATGAGGCTGTTGTCATTAGGGCGATCGCTGTTGAATCACTGAATCCTGACTCGGCGGCGGCGCGGGGCCGGGTGTGTGTGAGTGCGTGTGCGTGTGGGGGGTGTGTGTGCGCGCGTGTGCGTGTGCCCGCGTGTGCGTGTGAGTGTGTGTGCCCCCGTGCCTCTATGTGGCTGTGTGTGCGTGTGCGGGTGTGGATGCGTGCGCGGTGCGTGTGCCCTTTCCTCCCTTCTTCCTCCCTTTCTTTCTTTTCTCCTTGATTTATCTCCCCCTCTCCCCGGTCATCCCATGGTGTTCAGGTCCCCGCTAGAGCTTTATCCCACCCATTTCTTCTTGCCAAACTTCGCCGCCGATCCGCACCACCGCTCCCTCCTTCTCGCCAGCGGCGGCGGCAGCGGCAGCGGCTCGGGCTGCAGCCCCGGTGCCGGCGGCGGTGGAGGCGGCAGCTCCCGGGCACCCCACGAAGAGTTGTCAATGTTTCAGCTGCCCACACTCAACTTCTCCCCGGAGCAAGTGGCCAGTGTCTGCGAGACGCTGGAGGAGACTGGAGACATAGAGAGGCTGGGGAGGTTCCTCTGGTCGCTGCCGGTGGCGCCGGGGGCATGCGAGGCCATCAACAAGCACGAGTCCATCCTCCGCGCTCGGGCGGTGGTGGCCTTCCACACGGGCAACTTCCGAGACCTCTACCACATCCTGGAGAACCACAAATTCACCAAGGAGTCCCACGGCAAGTTGCAGGCCATGTGGCTCGAAGCACACTACCAGGAGGCCGAAAAGCTAAGGGGTCGCCCGCTGGGGCCGGTTGATAAATACAGGGTGAGGAAGAAGTTTCCGCTGCCCAGGACCATTTGGGATGGTGAGCAGAAGACGCACTGCTTCAAGGAGAGGACTCGCAGCCTCCTGAGGGAGTGGTACCTGCAGGACCCTTACCCCAACCCCAGCAAGAAAAGGGAACTGGCTCAGGCCACGGGGCTCACCCCCACGCAAGTAGGCAACTGGTTCAAAAACCGAAGGCAAAGAGACAGAGCAGCAGCGGCTAAAAACAGGTCAGTGGGGCTGCGGTGCCACGCTTCGGGGCGGGAGGCGAGGTGGGCGGCAGGACCCCGCGGGCGGACGGCCTCACTCCGCGGCTCGGCAGCAGCCTGGGCGGCAGCGCGCCTCTGCCTCCCCTTTCTCCCTCCTCTTCTTTTCCATCACGCCACCGGGAGAAATCGGTCCCCCCGCCGGGCGAGTATGTCTCCTCTCGGCATCTGCAGGGATGCGACGAGGACAGGCGAGGCTCAAAGTTGCCTGACGTGCCTCGAGCAGTGCCCCAGCTCCCCACAGGCTCCCGGGGTGCGGACAGGGCAGGCGCGGGTAGCTCCGTCCGCGCGTGTGTGTGTGGATGTGCGCGGGGCGCATCGGCTGCGGCGGGGGCAGCGCCCGGCTTTCCCGGCCTCCATCCCCGCAGCGGCAGCTGTCGCGGGGGGAGGGAAACCCTACGACCCCGGGTCGGTGGGCTCCGGTTTGGCTTTCGGCTTGCCGGGATCTGCTCCTGGCCGAGCTCTGGCGCGGTTTCCCGGCGAAGGGCCGAGGCAGGCGGTGCGGTTCAGAGTATGTTTCGGCAGTGCCAGCGGCTCCGCTCCAATTGTTCGTGCTGCTCTGCATGCGCGGCGGGACCAGCACACGCACACGCATACCTCAGAGCTCTTTGGCTCTTGGAGAAAAAGGGAAAAAACATTTAA